ACTTGCCTCCAGCGCGTCAATGCTGGGCGCTGGCCCAGTTTCCCCAGTCTTCGTCAGTTTTCCCAACGGACAACTTATGGAACAATATGGATTTTTTACTTTCACGGTTGCCCACTGGAAATGGGATTGAGGAAGGTACCAGACGATATCCATGGGTTCTTTGGTACTTATGGAAAGCTCACAATGACAAGGTGTTTCACAATTATGATCGATCGCCACAGGATATCCTTGATCTGGCCAGTACAGAAGCGGTAGCCTGGATCAGTGCCAACGCTACAGTAGAACAGGAGGAGTCGAGGAGTGGGGAGAGTCCTGAGAATATACCGGCATGAGACATTTTTACTTGCTTCATTGATGGATCATGGAAGGACGAGGATTCCATGAGTGGAATTGGGTGGACACTTCAGCTGCAGGATGGAGAAATTGATCTCTTAGGGGATCGAGCCATACAACGGAGCACGTCACCCCTTCATACTGAACTCCATAGTCTAGTATGGGCGATGATAAGTCTCAGGAAGCGAAGACGATACTGTACGTCTTTCGTCACGGATTCCCAAGAGTTGACCACGATGGTAAAAGAACCAGCAAATAGCCGCGTTTCAAGATGGAGCTGGAAGAACTGGCAGAACTTAGAGCGTATTTCCCAGACTTTACCCTACGGTACTGTCCAAGGGAGATGAATGTATGGGCTGACTTCTTGGCCCGACATGCTCGTCAAAGAAATATCGTATTCTCATACATTGGCACTTCGACCCCTATTTGGTTCCCAGATACTTCTGTATTTAGATAGAATAGGATTGTAATGCGTTCGTGACAAACAAAAAAAAAAATAGTAATCAAAGTCTTCCTAACAAGCCCTCCAAAGATTAGAGTTATGTTTATGTTTCGACTCGAATTGTCTATACACTCCCCGTGGCCCACCTAATAGTCTTTTCTTGTGATCGTTTTGTGGTCAAACTGAATTGAAATTAGATGGACTAGTTTCCATCTGTTTTTAGGCATGATTTTATTTGATTTATAATTGATGGGATTATATTAACCTCCGCATTTACTCTACACATCATATCAAGACAACAATCAAGATTTTAGTTTCTTAACAAAAATATGCGCTTACCATTTTTTTTTTAATAGAAAATGATATACAAACAAATAATTAAATTAAAGATGGTGGAAATTGAGCTATGGAAGAGGCAAAAACCGCCCATTTTTCAGCCAATCATGTCAAATAATGCACTGGCTGGATTTATGTTTTCAATAAAAAATACTGTATATGGTAACATTTCAAAACTAACTTTATTATATTTTCTTGCAAAACAACAAGAACCAGACCAAACCATAAAAGACAACTACGTAAAGTAAAAAAACATATAGATGTCTTCATTCTTTGACTAAATGGAAACCACGCATTACTACTATATGTATGTGTATATTCATAACCAAAACATCCCAAATATAGATTATTTCAAACATTTAAATTATTACATAACCCACAATATAGAAAGCCATATATATCTAGTAGTTGAACCACACAACATGGGTCTCTGGGAGGAAATGGCAGACCGGAACGGTCCCTGGCTTCACCTTAAGGACTTTGAAGGCCAAGTGGTTTGGGTTCCAAGCCGATGTGTTCTTGTGGCAGACCGCAACCGCTTTAGCCCGTGTCCCGTCCTCTCCTTGGAGCGGAACCGCGTAGACACTTGTCATCATGGCTTTGTGGCAGTAGAACACCGCGAATGGGTACTTTTGTTTGTGACAAACCACCGATTTGTCGTCCGACAACTTCTTTACTCCCGCCGCCGCGATTTTGTAACTCTGCATCGGCAAATTCTTCTTACCTACCTGTAGTAATCAAGGTAACATCGATCAATTAGAATATTAGACATAACACAACTTAGGAGTGGACATATAAAGCAAATGTAAGTAATCCAAACCAAACTTAAATATATATTCCATTTGTTTCAAAAATAAGATTTTGACTAAAAACGCACAAACCGAAGGTAAAACCAAATTTAATCGTACCAAACTGTAATGTGTTCTTATTCGTGAAAACAAAGATTAGCTTATTTACCTCAGTGGAAACAGCTCGTAGGTGATCTTTGCCAAGTTTAGAAACGCTGAAATCGACCATTGACTCCAAAGACGTCGCACAATACTTCTCCTCTCCACCGACTCTTTTGGCTTCACACTCTTCGATCGTTTTCTTCATCATCTCCGCTTCTTCGGAACCAGGTTTCACCGAGAGAGTGTTCAAGATCTGCGAAAACTTCTCCGAACCAAACGGCACCGTTTCACCACTAGGCAAGAACGCCGTTTTGCCGCCGTAACCGTCCTCTGCATTAAACCGGACGTTCATAGCTTTTCCGGGAACCAAGTCCTTCTCCAAGAAGAAGAGAGCCGCGTTGGGATCATCGTGAAGCTGAGTCTCACTCGCTGCGTAGTTATACACAAAAGGATTGGGTCCTGGTGTCACACCGACGTAGACCGGTCTGCCCTTATGGCGCGTGCGCACCGTCACGCCGCCTTTACCGACTCCTACGTCGGTTCTCTTACCGGGTTTCCCGGTGTGGACGGCGACGCCTCCGCCGTGACCTTTTCCGCCGCTAACGCTCACGTGTGTTCCCTTACCCTTTCCGGTGTCAACGTGTACACCTCCTTTTCCGACATTCACGGCGGTTCCACCGCCGGGTTTACCTTTTCCGGTGTTAACGTTTACGCCGCCTTTTCCTACTTGGACGTTGGTGCTTTTCTCGTCGGTGAAATCTGCAACGACAAAATAATATGGTAAGGAGGCATTTATTTACTAGAGTTAACGTACAAGATTCACAGTTATGAGAGATTGTAACCAATCAGCATGAGACACATATCTTCAGATATTTATGTACACATAACAACTTATTTTTATTAGGTTGTAAAATTATTTGCATTTATGTACTAAATTCTTTCTTTCTTTTTGTATCTGCTATGTATATATTAAATTGGAACAACCGTTTAAACTAAGAGAAACTTAATACAAACTCCAGAAATTAGAAAGATACAAGATTTATAACATTAGAAATAGTGGTGCAAGACAAGAAAAGAAACAAATATAAAGTAATTTTTTTACCGGTGGTCAAAAGATTGTGGAGAGAGTTGGGCATGGGAGTGTTTGGTAAAGCAGTGTTCCAATAACGATCAAGTGGTGAATCAGCCGCGACATGGCTCACAATGGCCATGACCTGCAATACACAAACAGAAACATCAAAACAAAAAGAAGAAAAGTGATAAAGTAATCATTAGTTTGTTAGTTAATTTAGTTAACAAGCACCATGAATGAAGCAAGAAGACCGATCAAAGGACGAATAGCCATATTTGTTGTTTGGGAGTTAGAATAGAAAAGGGATTGATAAATTTGAGGAGAAGAAGTGGGAGTTGTACGAAGAATTTATAGTAAAGAGGGTTTTAGTAGTAAGAGCTGAGAGGCTGAAGTTATGAGTATGGACATAGACGGCTACTACTTACCAATCTATTAGGGCCGATTAATTATCACATACTCCCTAACTACCACTTGCCTTCTACTTCTTTAATGCTCTTTGTGTCCATGTGTGGACATGTGTTTTTAATATCACCTGTTTTTCTTTTACTTTTGATTTTACGTCATATAAACGACGTCGTTTTCTATCCTTTTCAGAGAGGCTCTTATTTGGGTTGTTGTTGTCTTACAGCCAAGCCATGGAAAAGCAAACAATCATTCACAAATTGTTAATCAGTTCGGAGTTACTATATTCGATGGACCGGTGAATTTGATAGATCAGACTTGTATACTTGTATATTTACTCAATAGGCGGTTTCGATGAACATATAACCTTGGAGTTTTTTTATTTATAATCTCTTGACTTGTATGGACTGAATTGGCGGTTTTGATGAACATTATGTTTTGAAGATTGTTTCCCCATTTCTCTTTTAGAAAAAAAAAACTTATAACGCAAATCCTTCAAACTCTTCTTCCTTTTTTTACGAAATATTGAACTATTAAGAGCATGAGTAGTGGTGATACCATGTCGGTATCACCAAAAATAATTTAATATAAATTTTAATAGTTTTTTAATGTTTGAGATTCATTTAGATTTTTGTAAATTTTGTATGTTTAGTGGTGATACCATGTGAGTATCAAAAGAATAAAAAAATATTTTTTTTAATTAAAAAATAAAAAAACATGAAAAAATAATATTTATTAAGTTTCATAAAATTTTAAACATATATTACAATCCATAAAAACAAATTAAAACATAAAATTGCATATAGTAAAACCAAAAAAACGTAGAATGATAAAAAAACATAGGAAATAGTGTAGGTGTCTCTGTAGAAAACGTGTAGTCTACTATTTTATTTTATTTTGTCTCCGAAATAGTAAATCTTAAATCCCATGCTCGACACTATAATACCTTGTCATTAAAAAAAGGTTTAATATCTTCATATTTTGACTATTAAATTT